ATTTCTATTGAAACAACTTACTACACTCTACCTATTTGGTGATACCTGATTCAGCGCCATCACCTTAAGAGGCTCAGCTATATTTCAGGATCAAACTTTCAACAAATTTGGATGCAGGCAGTAATGTACTAGGAAGAATATTATGGAGGAATACCATCCTGAAGTGAGAGTAAGTTCCCTTTTACTTGTTGCCAATCTAAATAAAAATGAAAGGTTCTCCAGTCCTCTCTCATAAGGAAAATTCCCTTGCATAATTTTGTTAAAAGAACAAGGGCTCTGAAAATCTTAAGAGCTACACTACTGATACTGATATGCTTACTTATAGTCATTTATTGATATGTTCTGATAAAAATATACAATACTTATAATTAAAAAAATTCAAATAAAATAGAATTTCAAAAACAACTCATACTGTTCCTCATGATAATCTACTTTGTTGAAATCTCTTGGACAGAAAACAATAAAGAACCAATAGCTATTTGTGTGGAACAAATCCCTGACTCTTTAGAACATAAATTCTGAATTTCTTTTGATTGATCAACAAAGTTAAGTTCATCAATGTCTGAAGAAAACATTTGGTTAAAATGCATATATTTTACCGGTTTTGCTACTTTAGAGTTACGAAGTATTGGCTTACTAAATGTGGCAGAAATCTGAACAAGTAACTCATAAGATATTTACACCTTAGCTAGAAGCTGAAAACCTGTAAGACACATTAAGCAGATAAAATAAGTACAGCATGTATTTATGAACACAGATGGAAAGAAATGGATGAATCAAGTAAACACTTAATATTCAAGATATACTACATATGCATGGACCACCAAAAATTCAAGATATAGTAAATATACCTGAGTCATATAAAACACTCAATATTCGTGAAATATTAATTTAGCTACCCATCGTGGCTCGTGTAGACTCTGCACAAGTAAGGCAAATGCAATCCACAGTTGCTCAGTAGGCTAACTGGTGAACTACAGGTACGGCCAAATGCACTTGCTCCTACTTTTTAATAAAAGTGTGTCATTAGTCTTGAGCACTTTCCATCTATTGGGCCATCTTGCTCAAACCTCATTTCTAGTCTCTGTAAACACCATCTACAAGGAAAGCTTATGTAGCAAAGAGAGAAATCCATAATTCAGGATTTAGGTAATATGGTCCTTCTACCCACTTGGACTCTATCCTAAAAGTGTCTACTCTCAACTCTTCCCCTTTGCTCTGTGTATGTTTTAAATTTATTTAATAAACTATATGATTCAAGCATCTCAACTTTTTGGTCTGTCAGCTTCTCTCTGTCCCATTACTTCTGGGATAGCTTGATAAGGGTGTTTGGAGGCTACCACTGCACCAAGGTTATTTCCCATCTGATAATACCCAAAATTATTTAAATTTGAAAACTGCCAATCTGAAATGTCAAGCCAAAGCAGAAAACCCACTGGTCGCTATTACAAAGATTAACTATACATGAGCATTAACGATTGTAACCAACGCCCTGGCCAGGTAGCTTAGTTGTTTAGCACATCATTCCAATACACCAGGGTTGTGTTCAATCCCCGGTCAGAATGCATAAAAGAGTGAACCAATAAATGCATAAATAATTGAATGCGACAATAAATTGATGTGTATCTACCTCTTGGTCTCTCCTTTCCTCTCTCTAAAATCAATAAATAAAAATTAAAATAAATAAATAATTTTTAAACAAGATTGTAACCAAGCCCTGGCCAAGTGGCTCAATTAGTTGGAGCATTGTCCCCTATACTAAAGGTTGTGGGTTTGATTCCCAGTCAGGGCATATACCTAGGTTGTGGATTCAATTACTGGTTGGGGCACATATGGGAGGTAACTGGTCCACTGATGGCTCAGTTTCTCTCTCACATCAATATTTCTCTCTCAAATCAATGTTTTTCTTCTCTCTTGCTCGCTCGCTCCTGCTCCCTCTCCCTCCCTCCTTTCCTCCCTCCCTCCTTTCCTCCCTCCCTCCTCTCTCTCTCTAAAAACCAATAAAAAACATAAGCTTGAGTGAGGGTTAAAAAGTTAAAACGGTAAATTTTATGTTATACATATTTCACCACAATAAAAATAAATGAACAGAGGAATAGATCAAAGATTTGAGGAGCCTCTGAGGTGTGGAACTGGAAAGTGCGGAAGAGTGAGGCAGGGAATTATTGGTTTTCATTATAATTGTCTTATTATTATTTATTTATGACAATCAATTTGATAATAAAACCTTGAAAAATTATAATAATGAATTCAATAAGTGAAAAACTGGAGGAATTTTTATATGTATTATAGAGTTACTATCCAAGCAATATACTAAAAATTTGTAAAAAAGTATATTTAAATGTTATAATCTCTAAAGTCACCCAATAAGCAACAGTCAATTTCAATAACTATAAAATTAATACTGTCTTATGTCTACTCCAAAAAATTAAATTAGGAGGTGACATTCCATTTATTTGCAGACTATTACTTTCCTTCTATCAAGTGATAGTATTTCACCTCAATATATCAATAATTAGAATATATTTTAAACTACTAAAACTGGCTCATGAAAATTAAATCATTTGAGAACACTGGTACCAGAAGGTATGGTGTGTTACTCAACAAACAGGCTGTTTTCTTTTCCACTGTAACTTTCTCATTGACAATTATATTATTGTCCATTTAAATAACTTACATAAGATTTGGTTCTCCTCTATATACATCAAGAAAAGAAAACATACCAAGCCAGTTCCTAACATATAAAGAATCATTCTTACCATGTCTTTGAAGCCTAGCAAAAAAAATGAAATTATTCATTTACTCAACTGGGCATTTCCTGGCTCACTTTTTACGACTGTGATTGGAAAATATAAAAGGTTTTATTAATGTGTTGAGATTTTGCTTTACTTTAGTTCCAGGCTTAATTATTGGTTTTCCTTAATATAACTATTGAGTGTAGATGTTCACACTCAGGAGTAAATACTGCTTTCTATTAAGAATTTTTAAGATGTTTATGTCCATTTTATTTTTAGAAATTCTAATAAAAAAAAACAATCTGATTAAATTCCTTCTAAAAGCAACAAAGCTAGCTAACTAGCTAACAAAGTATGTCTCTCAATCCCATTGAGGCTGCTACAACAAAATACTCCTGACTGGGTAGCTTATAAACAACAGAAATTTATTGCTTACAGTACTGGAGGCTGGAAAGTCTAAGATCAAGGCACTAGTGTTGGTCCCATTTGGTGAGGGCCCTCTTCCTCACTCATAGTTGGAGCCTTCTTGCTGTATCCCGCACATGGCAGAAGGGGCCAGTGATCTCTCTGGACCCTCTTTTGTAGGACCTTAATCTTATTCAAAAGGAATTTTTGTCTCATGACTTAAGCACCTCCAAAAGGCCCCACTACCTAATGTCATCACCTTTGGGATTTTCAACATATAAAATTAGGGGGGACACAATCGAACCATAGCAGTATGTATATAGGTGGAAAGACAGTAAAAAAGTCAAAATCAGTATTTCCATTGAAATATGTTGCTTATACTATTATCCTTACATATATAACTTCATATGAAAAAAAGAAAAAGAAATTGCTACTTCTCTACATTGGAATTTAGCTTTGATTTTGATAAATATATTACTCTCACAAATTACATGTGGTTTTAATTCTTTGTATATTGGGACTAAAATATATTACATAACTCAATTTAACTGAAGAAAATATTAAGAATCAGAGTGAATCTAAAAACAAGAAAAAAGATCATTTCTTCTAGCCAGATACATGAAGTAAACAGGCAACAAAGAAAGTTGACTTTAGATTCAGATTACTGAAACTTTCAAAAGTGTAATTTATGAAAGCAAGCCCTGACTGGTGTGGCTTAGTGAAATGAGCACCGGCCTGTGAATCAAAGGGTCACTGGTTCGACTCCCAGTCAGGGCACCACTTGGGGGCATGTGAAAGGCAACCACACATTGATGTTTTTTTCCCTCTCTTTCTCCCTCCCTTTCCCTCTCTCTAAAAATTAATCAATAAAATCTAAAAAGAAGTGAAAAAGAATGTTCCTTTTCCCTTCAACTATGAGAATATCAAGTTGCCTCTAAAAATAAAAATCCTATACATATCAATTGTCCTCTTACAAGGGTATATAACGAACATTGCTTAAAAACATTTTTAGTCTTTTAGACTCTCAAGGAAAACAGTGATAGAACAATCAGTCAGTAAAAGTGCCTCAATCAATAAACAAGGAAAACGATATATGATATTTAGAAAACTATAATTCCCCTGCCTTGCTTCTGATCCCAGGAAGCTTATCATGGTAATCCCACATGACTTTCTAAAGGCAAAAGATAGTGGGCATGCGGACTGGTGCCGCCGCTATGGACAGCAGTATGGAGTTGCCTCAAAAAATTAAAAATAGAACTCCCTTATGACCCAGCAGTTCCACTTCTGGGGATTTTATCCAAAGAAACCCAAAACACTAATTCAAAAGAATATATATATATATATTCCTGTGTTTATTGCAATGTTATTTACAATAGTCAAGATCTGGAAGCAGCCCAAGTGTCACCAGTAGATGAGTGGGTAAAACAGCTATGGTATATTCACACAATGGACTGCTACTCAGCCACAGAAAAGAAGAAAATTTTACCCTTTATGACAGCATGGATGGACCTGGAGAACATTATGCTAAGTGAAATAAACCAGTCAGAGACAAGCACCATATGATTTCACTCACCTGTGGAATATAATGAACAAGCTGCACTAACAAGCAAAATAGAGACAGGCTTACAGATAGAGAGCAGGTGACAGACAGCCCAGGATGGGCGCAGGGACTGGGGAGTGGAAGAATCAAGCAAAATCAAAAAAGAACTCTTGAACACAGACAATAGTGTGGTGACTGAGGGGTGGGGGGTGTGCAGTTGGAAGAGGGTATAAGGGGGATAAATGGTAATGGGACATAATACAATAAAAATAAACTTAAAAATAATGACAATGACATTTTAAAAATAAATATTCCCTTACCTTGTAAGATGGCAAGAAACACAAAATTCCTTGGCTCATGGTCTGGCACACGGATAACACAAGTGCCCCCACTTCATCCTGGAACTCAAATGTTTCTGTGTGCTGGAAGGTAGCACAGAGACTCCGACCCCTGGGGCCTGACCCAATGGTGCCGACCCAAACCTAGAATATAAATATATCAGTATTAGAGTTATGCCTAAACTAGGCAGGCAAAAGAGCAATTAGTTGGGAGCCTTAATTACCTACATGACAGAAGAAGATCAAGCAACAAGTTTAGAGGAACTCTATTTCTAAATTGTTGGGGAACGGGTTTCTATTACTTTTATATTTATAATTATATAGAGATTTAATTCATAGAAGTTTTACTTTTAGGCAGATCATTGAATTCTCCTTGGATGAAAGCAAAAAGGGTTTCACTCATCTATTCCCTAAATAGTCTGCATGATTAAACATGGAACAGAATTTTGTTGGATGATGGGGACAAATGAAGTGGATAAATCAAAAAGAGTTCCAAAATACTAAAGGTGAGGGCTGGTATGATCTCCTGTAGGCAAGTTTCTAAGACTCAACCATGACAGAAACTACTCTTTCACAAATTCAAGGATGCTCAACCACCTATAGTCATAAAATATCAAACCCACCAAATTTTACAGTTCTATTCAATTCCTTTCACTCATACAAATATAACATTAGTGTAGTTAATTTGATAAAGAACAAACTCTATTAGTAATATACAGATAATACAAACACCTCAGATTGCTGAAAAGTGCAATAGTACTGTATTTTAAAATGTGAGATTGAAGTACATTTTGCAAGATGACATCTGACAAATACCACCTTAACCGAGTATTACTTAAATGATCAACTAGTAACACGAAAAACTGATACTACGTTTCCTGATATAGTGTAATGAAAAGTAACAATACAACCTATATAATATTCTTACCAAACTGTTTAACCTGAATCTTATCATGAGGAAACAATCAGATAAATCCAGATTATAAGCCATTCCTCAAGACAGCTGGTGACTTGAATTCTTTATAAAATGTCAGAAAGATTGAAAAAAAGAGCAGGATAACTGTTTTGACAATCAAAGAGACATGAAAACCAAATGCAATATGTAATACTTATTTGGATCCTGGATTAAGAATAAGAAAAATGAATAGGATAAAAGGCATTTGGAGAGTAACTGGAGAAATATAAATATTGGCTCTATTGTATCAATATTACATTTCTTGGGCATGATCATGGCATTATGGTTATGAAAGATTAGGTACTTATTCTTAGGAGAGACATGCCTTTAAACTAATTAAAGGCAAACTGTCATTATGTTTACACCTTACTTTTTAATAGTTTACCCAAAAATGTGCCATATATGTATTATATATGGATATAATATACATGGATATTATATATTGCACATGCCCATATGTAATTTTTAACATTTTGCAATATTTCTCTTCTCTGGCACACGTGCATGTGTGTGTGTGTATAGAAAATGTTAACAATTAATGAATCTAGGTGAAGAGTATAAGATGCTCACTATATGAATATCGTTTTCTACTTTTCCAAAGTTTATAATTTTTAATATAAAAATTTGGGGGAATCAACAAATGAATGAACACATAGGCTCATATATGATGTATTTACTAATAACTTCCCATATTTATTTGAGCCTTTAAAGAGAGCAGATTTAAAATATGGAACATATATTCTTCCTTCACTACTGTTTATAGCAATGCTTGTAAACAGCAGCACTCTGACATTTTGGAAAGCGCAATTCCTAGTTACATAGGAGCTCATCATTCAGGCTCTCAACTACTAAATGCCAGTAGTACCTCCCAAGTAACTGTGAGCAACAAAAATGTCTCCACAAATAAATACCTTGATTGAAAATTACACCTTCATAAAGTATTAGAATAGTGTTAGGCACAGAGGTGGTGTTAAACATGTAGCTAACCATTTTAAAATACTTCATAAAAAGAAATAGAAGAGATCAACACATAATAATTAAAGCATTCCTAGGAAAACTAAAATAACATTTATATGGTATTGTTATAAAAATTAAAATCTTAAGTCATGGGACTCATAAGTGTATTTCTAATTCATTTCAGATATCAAACGTGCTGAACAATTGCTAACTAATGCCAGATATTAATCTAGGTGCAGTGGAAGAATGTGGACATAATAAGAAGAAAAAGGATGCACCATAGTCTCATCGAAAAGAGAAACACATAAACAAACAATTAAACAATAGGAACTATAATAAAGAAGTTGAATTTTGTTTTGCTTTTAATTTTCCCTTAAAAACACTACAACATTTAAATTAGGAAATTGTAATATAGTCTTTGCATGCAAAGTGTACTTTTTTACTTACTGAGTCAAAAGAATTTGTTAGTATTTCCTTTTTGTTGACACTATCAAGGCAGGTTTTCTTTTATTCTAAAACTGAAATGTGGAATTTCCTATCAGGATCTGTTTGCTACTACTTAGGTATCTTACAATTTGTTTATGTAGAATTATATTGAAGTAAGGAAAAAAAAAAAGAAGACTGAAAGCCTTCAAAAAAAAAAATCCTAACCTGTGAGCTATTAATGATATGATTAGCTTCCAATTGGATAGTAAATGTAACACCAAGTTCTGATGAAAAGGATTTCATTGGTGATAATGTTCCAGATGTCAAAATAATCGTCCACACTTTGCCATTAATATCCGAAAAGGCCTAGAAGGAAACAACATTGAATATATAAAATCATCTTTAAAGAAGTCAAACATATTTATTTAATTGTTTGTATTGAGTTAGGAGACAGAATTTTCATACATAACAGTCAGCTTACCACAGCTGGATTTAAGCACCAAAAGTTTAGCACATGAACTGCAACTTTCTGTCGTGAACGTTTCTTATTTTTTGGTACAGCAAAGAACCCATTTTTATCTAAAGTATCAGTCTGATTTATCCAAGAATAAGTCTGTTGAATAGCAACTTTATAATCATCTGCAAACCTAAATTAAAATAAAATGGCAAAATTTTATAAAACATATAATGTCCCAGCTATATACAACATAAAAACTGATTGTATTAAAACTATATTGAGTGGTATCTTCCCACTCAAAGATAACATTTTCCCCACCAAACAACCACCAATAATTAAACTAAGTGATTCTGATAGAAAATAAGCCATTGTTTTAGAAATATCCCCTTAACAGAGACTAGATATCATCTAATGATCCACCGTTTACCACTTTCCCTCCCTATGTTCAAATACTACATAAACCATGGCAGAGTGAGAATTAAAACCCAAGCCTCCTAACTCCTAATCCAGAGATCCTTGCACGCTATGTTACATCATTAGTTACAAAATAGATAACAGGACTATTGTTAAAGAAACTAAAAAGTGGTTTATACTTTTTTATCACATTAGAAAACAGGTAATTTTTACTGAAAGTTTAAGAAGTTTAGGAGACTAATTATAAAAATTTTAAATTCCTTTAAAATCTAGGTCTCAGTCTTCTCTATTTTTAACAAAGGTACTGAACCAGGTGACCTCTGTAACCCCATCACTTTATAATTTCTTTCAACAACAGGCTATAAACACCTAGGCTAAAGCAGAACATAATGTGGTATGCTCTACCATGTCCTCACAATATTGACAGTTAATTTCACCCTTAGAGAGATCAGATCTCAAAGTTTAAGCCAGGAACCCTAAAATCTATGGAGAAAATTTTATAAAAAGTATTGAAAGCTAAACAGTATAAAACCTAGAAGAAAACAAAGGAGGAAATCTTCATGACATCAGATTTAACCATGTTTTCAGAATAGACCAAAAGCACAAGTAGCAAAGAAAAAAACAATAAATTGGACTTCATCAAAATTTTTAAACTTTTGTATATCAAAGGACACTATCAAGAGAATGAGAGACAACTCATAGAATGGGAGGAAATTGTAGAATATTTATCTGATGCAGGATTAACATGCAGAACACAGGGTCTGGCAGAAGTAACGCCTGCTTGAGTGTGGTTCAACATCTCACCTAAAACGTCATATGGTGTGCTTGAGTGTGATATCGGTGTTACAGAATTACATACTTATGATTTTGTAAAAAAAAGGGGGGGTGTTATTTGTGCCAGACCCTGCATATAAACAACTCCTATAACCCAACAATAACAACAACAAAAAACCCAATTCAAAAATGAGCAAAGGATTTGAATAGATATTTTTTTACAATAAAGATATACGAATGGATAATAAGCACATGATAAGATGCTCAGCATCTCTAGCCATTAGAAAAATATAAGCCAAAACCACAGAAGATGCCACTATACCCATTAGGATGGCTATTATCCAAAAAAAAGTGTGGCTGCTATGAAAACCAGTAGGTTGGTTCTTCGAAAACTTAAATACACAATTTCCATATGATCCTGCAATTCCACTGCTAGGTAGATATGCAGGAGAACTGAAAGCAAGGACCCAATATGATACTTGAACATAAATGTTCACTGCAGCATTAGTCACAATAGACAAAAGGTGCAAATAAGCCAAATGTGCCTCAGCATAGGATAAAAAAATGTGTTGTGTACATGCAAGAGAATATTAGTCAGCCATATAAAGGAACCATCTTCTGAAATATAACAGGGATAAACCTTGAAAAGTGAAATAAGCCAGACACAAAAGAACAAATATATGATTCTGCTTATATGTGATACCAAGAAAGGGCAAGTCCATAGAGGTGAAAGTAGAAAAAAGATCACCAGAGGCCGTGGAGGGAGGGAAATGGGAGCTGCTTGGGCGGTATTGTTTCATGGGTGTACAGTTCCTGTCTGGGATGATGGAAAAGGTCTGAAAATGGTTAGTGGTGACGGCTGCACAACAACGTGAATCTATTTAATGCTACTGAAATGTGCACCTAAAAATGGTTAGAATGATACATTTATGTTACGCACATATTACAATTTAAAAAAAGCAAAAATACTGGAACCAGATATCGCTATAACTTAAAAAGGGGTAGTGTGGGGGAAGGTGACTACTTTTCATTTTCTACAATTCACTAAATAGAAGCTTCAAGAAATAAGAAAAAGACATTCTAATACTAGAATAAACATATGTAAACTATATTTAAGAAAAAACATAAATGCTTAAGTTTAGTCCTTGAGGACTATAAATTTAATGCTGAATTAGTATATTGACTGGTTTCAATATTCATTTCCATTACTAAAGACCAATTTCAATTAATCTGAATCTGTGCCAATAAGAGGAATATTTATACCACTTGTTTACGATTATCCTATGCACTCTTACAAAGAATACATTGAACACATGCAAAGACCCAATAAGGCTAATATTTTTAAGAGAAAAAATACTGATCAGATATCTTCATTTACCTGCTATTTTGCCTGAAAAGATAGTCAAGTACCATAAACAGTCCTTTGAGCATTATTTGAGTTGAAGCACTAATAATAGGCACTTCTCTTGCCTCCTCTTTTCCATGAATTGATAAGACTTTTTCTTCTTTTTGAAGGACAGCAGAAAAATGTCCCTATAAGAAATTACAACATTAAGTATGCTGAGGGGAGGAGAGAAGGAGAAAAACAAACTTCTCAAAACTATAATGAAACCTAAATAAAATATACATTGAAATTATGGGCAAACATTATTAATATACAAGTGCTCACAATATACTTTAGATTCCCGTATGTTCCCAAATTCTCTTCTAAGACCTTTAATAAAATTATACATTTACTTCTTCAGGCAATTAGGGTATTATTTAGTGCCCTTCAAAAGTAATGGACTATATAAATATGTACTTACCAAATGGTTTCTCCAAGGAGTTTAAAAGAGTTGATATGCCACCTAAATGACTGAATTATTTCCAGAGTACTCTGATGCTTAGAAAAATATGACTATATTATAGGAAAAATTAAAAGAATGACTCAAAGCAAATTCTAAAATTCAAATTGCAGGGTAAGGACAAGAATAGCCGAGATCATTCCAAAGGAAAAAAACAAAGTGAGAAGATATGCTCACACAGATATCAGCATTTTTCTAACAATAATTAATAAATATGACAGTTTAGATAAACAGATTTATAGAGTCCAGAAATAAATTCACACATGAACGAAAAATACATATGTGACAAAAATAGTATTACAAACAATGAGAAATGACAGACTATTTAGTAAATAATGGTGAGAAAAATCACTATCTGTACAGGAAATAAAATGGAGTCTTTACCTCATAAGATAAGCAAAAATGAATCAGACTGATTGAAAACCTGTATTAAAAAATACTTTAACACTTTCAGAAGAAAATGTAGAATGGGATAAGATTGCTGAAATTAAACTCAAATATGACAATTCACTTAAAAAACACTGATAAATCTGAATGCGCTAAAGTTAAAAAATCTTTTGAAAAATACACTATAAATAAACAAACCATAGACAGAAGAATATATATTCAATGCAATAGCAACAAAGAATTAGTATTTAGAATATATAAAAGAAATAATGAGTGATATATAAAAAGATATATGTTCAAATCAGAATTGTTTCTTATTCTGGGAAAACTGGAAACAACCTGTATTTCAAATGCCAGATTAATGAAATAGTTTAGAATACGTGCACTGACAAAAATGCTACACTGAAGCTAAACATGTAAAAGAATCTTTTTTAAAACAGGATAGTACTCATACTATATTGTTAATAAAAAAACTACAAGTAAAAATGTATCATATCAGAAATATATTTATGCTAAGCTAATATATGCACAGAAGGAATAGGTAGACATAAATCCATAATAATAATCATCTTTAAGCTGAGTATTTTTTTCTTTTGTACCTTTCTGTATTTTCCAAATTTTTTCTTTGACATATATTTTATTGGTACATTTTTAATTAAAGAATAATATATAGAATGCACTAATTTTGTATACACAGCTCACTAAACACACATACACACACGTAACTAACAAGTCATTCAGGATACAAAACATTCCTTGAATCCCACCCAAATGGTTCCCTTTCACTCCTTCTCAGCCCAAACTGCTCCTTACACCTACACCAGTGAGCCAGTATTTTGACTTCTGTTAGTATAAATATGTTAGTCTGTTCTTAAATTTCATAAAAATGAAATCATACAGTTTGTACTTTTTCAAAGGGATTTTATGTATCTATCTCTCTATCTATCTATCTATCATCTATTTTTAGAGAGAGAGGAGAAGAGGGAGAAAGAGTGGGACAGAAACACTGATGTGAGAGAGAAACATCAATCAGTTGCCTCTTGCACGTACCCTGACCGGGAGCCAAACCTGAACCTGCAACCTAAGTATGTGCCCTGACTGGGCATCGAACTAGTGGCCTTTTGCTTTGCAGGATGATGTCCAACCAACTGAGCCACACCAGTCAGGTCAGTTTGTACTCTTTCTGCCTGGTTCCTTTTACTCAACAATATGCTATAAGATTGACTCATATGGTTGTGGTGGCAGTGTATCATTTTTTAATTGCAATGTAGTAGTCTACTATATGAATATCCCACAATTAATTTATCTATTTTACTGTTGATATAAATAAACTTTAAAAAGCAAAACACTTATGCAAAAAAATCATAAAAAGATGTCACAATATTGTCCTGGCCAGTATGGCTCGGTGGTTGGAACAATCCTGTAACCAAAGGGTTGATGTTCGATTCCCGGTCAGGACACATACCTAGGTTACAGGTTCATTCCCGGTCCAGACACAGGCACATGCAACCTCTGGTCCAGATATGATCCCTGGTCCCGTGATCACCAGTCCTGGCTTGGACTCCCACTGTGGGTGCATACAAAGTCAACCAATTGATGCTTCTCTCCCATCGATGTTTCCCTCTCCCTTTCTCTCTCAAAACGCAAATGAAAATGTCCTCCAATGATGATAAAAAAAAAAAAAAGATGTCACAATATAGCAAAATATACTACACTGCATTTTTAAATGCAGGGTAAAAATTATATTTTGATTAAAATATTTATTTCAATACTCATTTGCCCAAAATGCTAGTGGTGATCATGTTGTCAATAGTTGTTATCTTTTGGGGTTCAGAAACTTCTTTAAATCAATAAGGAAAACTACAAAACTCTAATTTAAAAAATCAAAGAAAATCTAAATAAATGGAGAGATATTCCATGTTCATGGATAGAAAAATTCTGTATTACTCAGATGTCAGTTCTTCCCATCTTGATCTATAAATTCAATGCAATACCAATCAAAATCCAAACTAATTACTTTGTAAATATTGACAAACTGATCAAAGCTTATATAGAAATTCAAAAGACCCTGAAAAGCCAACACATTAATTGAAGAACAAAGTCAGAGGGCTGACACTATCTGACTTCAAGACTTACTATAAAGTGACAGTAATTAAGACAGTGTGGTATTATTGGTAAAGAACAGATAAAAAGAACCATGGAAAAAAACAGAGAGAAATATATCCACATAAATATTGTCAACTGATCTTTGACAAAGGAGCAAAGGCAATAAAATAGATCAAAATTAGTCTCCTCAAGAAATGGTGCTGGAAAAACTGGACATCCATATACAAAGAAATGAATCAGGACACAGACCTTACACTCCTCACAAATATTAACCCAAAATGGATCACAGACTTAAATGTAAAATGCAAAACTATAAAACTTCTAGAAGAAAAGATAGAAGAAAATCTAGGAGTCTTTAGATTTGGTGATGAGTTTTTAGATGCACTACCAAGAGCGTGATCCATCAAAGAAAAAGAACTGGTAAGTTGAACTTTATGAAAACTAAAAACTTATGCTCCATTAAAGATGTTGTTAACAGAATAAAAAGATGAGCCACAGGCTGGAAGAATATATTTGCAACATACATGTGATGAAGGACTTACATACAAAATATACAAAGAACTCTTAAAACTCAGCAAGAAAACAAACAACCCAATTGAAAGGTAGGCAAAAAATCTGAAAGGAACAACAGGAACTCTCATTCACTGCTGGTGGGAATGTAAAACAGAACAGCTACTTTGGAAGACGGTTTAGCAGTTTCTTGCAGAGCTAAACTTAGTCTTACTGTATAATCCAGCAAACATGCTCCTGTTTACCCAAATGAGAAGCAAGCATATCCACAGAAAAACATGCACAAAAATGTTTACACTAGCTTTATTCATAACTGCCAAAATTTGGAAACCACCTATTAGTCCTTTAATAGTAGAACGGATAAACAACTGTGTTATATACATACAATGAGTATAGTTCAGAAATAAAAAGAAATAAGCTGTCAAGCCACGAAAAGACAGAGGAACTTTAAATGCATACTGCTAAGTGAAAGAAGCCAGTCTATAGAGACTACATACTGTATAATTTCAAATACATGACATTCCAGAAAAGGCAAAATACGAAGTCAGTAAAAATACCTCTCTCTCTCTCTCTCTCTCTCTCTATCTATCTATCTCGCTCTCTCTCTCTCTCTCTCTCTGTTTCTATCTCAGTGGTTGCCAGGAGATGTCTAGCAAGGGAAATGAGATGTAGTGAAGGAATGAGTAAGTGCAACCTTAAAAGATTTTTAAGGCAGTGAAGTTCTGTATGATATTGTATTGGTAGACACATGACTATGTTAAAACTCATAGAACTGTACAACACAAAGAATGTAAACTACAGACTTCAGTAAACAATAATGTAACAATATTGGTTAAATGGTATTAATGCACTATACTATTGCATGATGTTAATAGGAGAAATAATAACATCTGTGTTGGGGGAGTAGGGTGTAGGGAGGGCTGATATATAAGTCAATAGCCTTTCTGCTAAATTTTTCTGTAAACCTAAAACAACCAGTCTAAAATGTAGTCTTTTAGCCCTGGCTGGTTTGGCTCAGTGGATTGAGAGTCAGCCTGTGAACAAAAGGGTCACCAGTTCAATTCCCAGTCAGGGGCATATGCCTGGGTTGTGAGCTAGGTCCCCAGTAGGGGGTGTGTGACAGGCAACCACACATTGATGTTTCCCTCTTTTTCATCTTCCCTTCCCCCGCTCTCTAAAAATAAATAAATAAAAACTTAAAAAAAAATAAAATGTGGACTTTTTATTTAAATAAATAAATAAGAAAGAACAAAAAGGAAAATTTGGGTGGGGGGCGGTAGTGGGAAAGAACCTGTCTGAGAATATATGTCATGAAGCTTCTATTCAGAGAAATGTACAAAAGCACATACTCATAAAATTTTGCATACAATTTGATAATGTTCACAGTATCCCATAGCCCACTCATGATCTCCATCCACCCAGGTTTATAGCCTCTAAATTAAGGAGACCAAAATATAAATTTATCCTTCCATTTTCCAAATTTTTAACTTTTACAATTAACAAAATAAATTTATGACCTAAAAATACTGACTTCTTTTATCTTTGAACAAGCAATTATTTCCTTTAAGCCTTATTTCCATCAAAGTAAATAATGCTTTTTCACCCATAATTTATGCCATCACACCTAAGATTATAAAAATTTTAAAATAAATTGCTACATTTTTTTTTTACCCTGGATAAACTTATTCACTATTAATCATTTCTAAATCACTGAATGAATTTTCTCAGGTGGGGGAAAAAAAAATCTTACCTGCAAAATGGGAAAAGTATCAGTGGTGATACCCATTTTGTGTAAATTTAAGAGCATTTCACTTCCACTCCATATTTTACAGGATGATTCATAATCCCGCTCCACAAGCTGTTCAGAGTTTGCTTCTAACCAACTGGAATAAAATAAAACAATTCCATCAACAAGTATCATTCTATGTGCACTTTTTTTTAATGAATTTTTTTTTAATTTGTTTATTTTTAGAGAGAGGGGAAGGGAGGGAGAAAGAGGGGGAGAGAAACCTCAATGTGTGGTAGCCTCTCACACACCGCCCCGCACTGGGGACCTGGCTCACAACCCAGGCATGTGCCCTAGACTGGGAATGAACCCGTGACTCTGGTTCGCAGGTTGGCACTCAATCCACTGAGCCACACCAGCCAGGGCATATGTGCACCATTTTCATAGAACAGAGAATTAACTGAGATACAGTAATCTGTATTCCTTGAAGCTCTTAGGACACAAAAGTGGACTAAGATGTTTTTAAAAGCATGCATATCCAGATTTGAAAAAAAAAAAACCCAACAACAAAAAACAAAAAAAAACATTTACATAGCTAAAAAGCAAGCTTTTATTCAGAAAAGAAAAACATGCATGTCATTTCCTAATTGCATTTTGTGGATTCACACTTCTTTACTTGACTATCTCTACAAAAGAGACCCATGTCTCAGGGCTCACCCCAAATGCTAAAAGAAAATACAAAATAACCCAATAAAAATAATTAAAGTGCCATATTAACACAAAAAAGAGAATTATTAGAAAATATATAAATATATTCATTAATATACATACACATGTGTACATTCAGTAACTGCTTAAATGCCTATTATTATGCCAGATACTATACTAGGCTGTAGAAATACAGTAGTAAATAAAAGAGATAAGGCCCTTATTCTCATGGAAATTACATTCTACTAAAGGAAGAAATAAATTTAGGAACAAATATATAAACAAGAAAATATTAGGCGATAATAAGAGGTATATTAGGTTAATGTAATCTAATTGCTACTTCAATTTGAATATCAAGAAAGCTCTCTACCTGAGGTGACATTTATTTTAACAATTGAAGGCAAAATGTACCCAGTCATGCAGGATTGAAAGCAAAATGTTCCCAGTTATGGGAGAATCAGAAAAAATTGAGCAAAAATCCTGAGGTGGTTAACAAATTATCCTCATTTAAGGACCCATAAGAAAGCCAATGTAGCTGCAACACAATGGGCAAAAAGGAATAAAGGTATAAACAATGTTAGAGTGATAAGCAATAATATTAAGCCAGGATAAGAAATTTGAATTCTATTCAAAGTGCAATGGGGAGGTTTTAAATGGGGAATTTTAAATAACAGAAAGACCATCTATTTTAAGTGTTTAAAAGATGATTCCAGCTTCAAAGTCAGAATGGGTTATAGGGGAAGGCAAGAGTGAGCGCAGAGACCTGTTTGGAGGCTGTTACAATATTCTAGTTGACAGATGACTGTGGGAGGGTAGATATGGGATTGAAGGATTTGGGATATTTTGTGCAGGTGGCATTTACAAAACTTACTGATAAATTGAGGCAGGGTAGTAATCAAGAGTAATACTAAATTTTTGATGTGAGGAATTGGTTAGTACTGTGTGTTTAGACGAGAAAGACAGGAAGAGTAGGTAGGGGAAGGAAATAAGTTTTGTATTGGAAATTTGATAACCAAACAAAGATATAAAGTAAGCTGGATATATGAAAATAGCATTCCCAGGAGAGGCTGGGGCCAGCTGCAGGCTCAGGCCTCAGCAGCACTGCTACGGTGCTGGGTTACGTAATGGAGGGAAAGTGCAGAGCTAGAAATGAAATGAGGTCCTGGAACCAAGTCCTGAGGCACTTCAACATTTAGACATCAAACAAAATAGAATTATCAAAAAAAAAAAAAAAGAGAGAAAGAATAGGCTGTGAGGAGCAGGAAAACCAGATGATGTCATAGAAGCTGTCTAGAAAAAACATTACTGTGTGTCTCCTCTACCCTTACTACTTCACTCCGACACCTCTGGTCACTAAGTATATGTGGGTTTTTTTTCCATGCCAAGCAACTCGAGACACCAGCTGGGTGTCCTTTACAGTCATGTGTCACTTAGTGACGGGGATATATTCTGAGAAATGTTTCCCTAGGTGCAGAAAGAAACTTCCAGAAGTGAAGGGGATATTTATGTGGTGAAGGGCATAGAGTGTAGTGATAGTTTCATGGACATATACTTACCTATGACTCATCAAGTTGTATACGTTAAATATTTACAGCATTGTGTATGTCACTTATACCTCAATAAAGTAGTTTAAAAAACATAATCTCTATTTCTACGTTTAAAATGGGGAAGACAAAAATGTATATATAGTATGCCATCATTTGGGTAACAAAGAAAGTGACAAGAGAAAGAAAGTGTCCAATTTGATTCATATATGCATAAACATGCACTGAATGATAAACTTGTGTAGGAGGACAAGAACTAAGCATATGGAAGATGGTGTGAGAAGGTTTCTACAATATCAATTTGTGTATACCTTTTCTGTTCAAACAGATGACTGTATAACTTTCCCATTTTTTAAAAAGTATACTGTACAGGGAACAAAAATCGCTGTAGCATATGAAATGGGATGTAGAGTCGGGAAGTTTTTTCTAAGATAAACAAATAAAAATCTAATGTCTAATGAAAGAAATTATCTAATGCAAGTTTTATTTTATCATTATATTTTATCCATTATAAATTTTAATAAAATTCCTACTAAATATATTATTTTACAGTATTAAAATCTCGGTTAATTGAAACTTATTAAACCAAAATCCTACTCAAACTGGAGGATAAAGTGATGAATTAAATCCATGATCCAGAATTTTAAAATGTTAAATGAAATCCTTACTTAATGTTCAGCCCAGTGTCTTACACATAGCCTATAGGGCTGTTAAATTATCTATCTGGTTAAATTAGGAATAAGATTCGCAATTATCAATTTAAAAGATTGATTCTGTCCATTATATTCTTTTGAATAAGACAAAAGTTTGGACTAGCCTATTTTTAAAAGTTTAACTGGCAAAGAACAATACATTTCCAAAGTAGCCTGATCAGTTTACTACCTGCAAATACTCTTGCATAATAAACATGTTTTCAATACAAAGGCAGCACAAATGACACTGACAGACAAACATTCTTACTTAATGAGGCTGTAGCACACAGCTTGTAAGGGTTCATGGTCTTTCTTCCTTATGTTATTGTTGACCATACTATCTAGTTCATCTCGAGCAAACCGAAGCTGAACTTCCGTTATACTGTAGCTTGCTGATTCCCGAGCACAGTCCTCGATGTTATGAGCTTCATCTAAAATGACAACCTGTTCTTTCAGATTGATATCCATCTATAAGATTAAAACAATGTCCTGTAAAACTTTTAGAAAAAATGGATTTAACAGCATAATAGGCATGATATTTCTTAAAAAAAAAAAAAAATCACACTATAGGCCAATATTGCAAGTATATAAGCAACTGATTCTAGGTCTCAAAACTTCTAAAGTACAAAAGCCAACCAAATATCAGCTCACCATTATAGAGTCTGCCACCTTTCATTCTCAAAATACTTTGCAAACTTATCACAACCAAAATAATGTGTTACGTGAACCTGGATCAAAGTACAGCTGGCTATACAAAGGAGTATACAAATTCCACTATGAAGGAATCTCCAACATAAATTAAAAAGTAGAGCAAAATACCTTTAAAACTAAAATAACAATACAAAATTCAAAAGACTCTTGGAATATTAATGTAATACAATATGTATCTTTCATTTTAGTCTGTCCTGCAACACTCCATTCTGCCAACTGCTCTTCTCCAGCTCCCATGTGATGTTGGTCGGACTGTTAATCTGTTAATCAAGGACATCACCACGCTTACAACACGGGTAGACTCAGAGACCAGGCTTGTCAATTACATGAAGTATTCCATCCCTACATGGTCACAGTGGCTGGTTTGAGAATGGATATGAGATCCAAACTAGGACAAGAAGAGTAATCTGGGGTGACTAATATAAGATCGAGTACTTTCATCCAGGTTTGCTAGCTACCTATCCTTATCTTTGCTCCTATTGGAAAAAACTTGCCATGGCAACGATGAGTTAGTCAAGTAGTTCTTCTTAAGCTCTACTGAAGCTGAGTTGGTGTCACTTGCAATTGGGAGAATCCTAGCTAATACAAAGAAATGTCACAAACCAACTGTCAATGAGTTACTCTGAGGAAATAATACCACACAGAGGGTTGAAGATGATCAAGAAAGAACCATGAAGAGCTGGAAATACAGTAGGGTTTAAAGAGGAAATGTATTTGGATTTGGATCGACAAAGAGAGTAGGGCATTTCAACACAGGTGTCATCAAAATCAGAGACACAGGAAAGAACAAGGAATCCTCAGGGAACTCTGAGGTAATTTTTGAGGGGATTCACGTTGGGAGATTGCAACACAGAAGGCCGAAAGGGTAGATTCAGGTCAGACTATTGAGCAATTTGAAGTAAGCTTATGAAATATGGACTTTACCCCATGAGCAAAGAGCAGTAAGTGATTTTTAAGCAGAGGAAAGATTAATAAAAGTAATAGTAAAAGACTGATCTGTCATTGATCTGCAGTCACTCAGAAGAAAGAGACCTAGCCAAGAGATAACCAAATAAGAGGTGGGATAGTAGGGATAGTAAACAATGTCTGTTAATTTCAAACTTAAGATAGCTAATGAAAGTTTTGCAGTCAGATCTAAAGAGAGAAATAACAATTGAATATACCAAGTTATTCACTTTTTTTGGTCTTATACTGTAACAACTGGATGTTTCTAAGAAAAAACAGGCAAATTAACACAAATGCTGTATACAAAGTTCACTTCTCAAAAGCTCACAAAGCATGACTTGCAGTCTGCATATTCTCCCAACATAAGTTCTTCAAAACAGATTCTTCAGATAAATGTTTTAAAATAATTCTTTCTGACTATTCATAAATGGAAAGAGTGATAGCTATAAATGGGTCTAAACTGGGCACAGTTCTGCTTCCCCAGGGATATTTGGCAAAGTCTTGAGGCATTTGTGATTGTTACCATGTGAAGGTGCTACTGGCATCTAGTGGGTTAAGATGCTGTTACTACAATGCACAAGACAACCCTTTAGAACAAAGAATTATCCAGCCCAAAATGCTATCACTATCAAGGTTATGAAAAACCCTACTATAATCCAACCTCAGTACTAGGTTCTTAAAAGTACAATAGTTGTTTTTTTGAGAATTAAAGTGACAAGGTCTAAAATTCAGTTTTTATTATACCTTAGAATGTTTTCAGTATTCTAATCTGTGTATACACTTACATAAATTAACTATTAAACAAAAAGTAAAGTAAAAGATATTAAAACATCTAAAAGCTTTTACATTTACCCTCACATCCCAATAAGCAGGGAAAAAGTTCTAATTTTTACATGTTTACTCACACTTTCCCTTATTTGTGAATCCAGAAGATAGTTGTAGGGACAAAATATTATATCAGCATCTTCTACAAGTTCTCGTGCTGTGTAATATGGACATGCCTTTAGTTTTTTGCCCAAGCTGATGAGTTCTTCTATATCCCAGGCTTTGCCCATCCCTTGGAGAGTCTGGAATGTCTGCTGACCACTAATTTTATGAACACCATGATAAAAATAGCAGGATTTTCCCTAAAAACAAATGTATATAACTGAAATGTGAGCCCATACTGGAACAGAAGAAATAAAACAAGTTTATCTCAGAATTTTAGGAACATCATTAATGCCATAAAGAAAAGATTTTATAGAGGAGACAAATTATACTGTGTCTACAATCCCAATCATTTTAAAGACACTGCATTAGTTGACTCAATAGATTCCAGATTAGTATAGCTCCAGATACCCCTAAATTAATTTGAGATATATTTTTAAAATTATGTTTGTTGTGGCTTTGTTCTGATTAAAGTGATATTAGGCAAAAATATTTCTGTAAGGATATGCAGGAGCAATGGTATCACTGATTGCCTTCCAAGATCAGAGCTAAGAGATTTTGGGGACAGGAGTGGGAGAGATTTTTCTCTACAGACACTTTTATACCTTTCAGCTTGAGACATGAGGCAGTATTACTTAATTAAATCTAAATAAGTAAAAAGAAAGAAAGGAAGAAAGAAGAGAGGGAAAGGAGAAATGAAGGAGATGGAGAGGAAGGAATGTCCTAAGGGAAAAAATAGAGTGTTCACTCCAAATATTTGGAAAATACATAAGAATATCAAGGAAAAAAAAACATATATTATAATTCTGCCACAAAAAACATATTAACATTTTGATATGTTTCATTTTATATATCTTCTACACATAGGTAGTGCATATGTATTGATTTGTCTTTACAATGTGACCTAGTATTAAAATAATGAGAATTTTAAAAATTTTCCCCAGGCATTGAGGATTATTAATAATACAGCCACAATAAACACTTCTCACAAAACTAAAATCACTTTTTTCTCTAAGCCTATTTAGGTAAAACTCCTATTAAGACATATTTTCTCATATCAGTAAGTATTTTTTCATTGTTGCCCACATATGTACATTGAATTGATGTGCCACAGTTGATGAACCAGTTTCACTACTATTGAGCATTTATGACTGTTACTAATTTTTGCTTTATGAATAATGCTGCAATGTCATTAGCATTTGTATACCCATTTCTAAATACTTTCTTAGTATACATTTAGTATGGAGGTAGGTGCTTACAGAGTCTGTGATTAAAAACTGTTAAATCTCATCTTAACAAGAACAGATATTCTTCCATACCAAAATAATTTTTTAGAACTATTTCTGGGGCTAGTTGATTTTTTCTTAACTGAAACAAAATTAACTTTTAAGAGAATAAATCCATTGCTTTTCCAGTATAAGAGAACTTTAGTAAAAGAAACTGAACAAAAACACATGTGCCCTTGGATCAAGCCAAAAAATCAGAAAGTTTACACTTTAAGGGCACTTAGAATGACACTCCTGTGCAGGCTGATAGCAAAACCAGAAAAGCTCGTCCATTTTAGCGGTGAAACACAACCCTGAGGGGAGTCTGTCAACTGAAGCGTTATCACACTTTAAACTCTTTTTCCCTCAAACTGTCAGTTATCTATTTATCATTTCGCTTTGGTAATTCAGCCATAGTAAACACAGACACCTATGGTGACTTTGTAATTGGCCCTCATTACAATACCAAATTACCTTGAGGGCTTGGGAACAAGAAAAAGAATGTTCGTGTATGCCTATGAGCTAAGCATTCTGAAGAAGAATTAGGTCACGACAAACAACTACAAGCAGGTATCTTCAATTATGCCTATCACTAATATTCAAAAACAAAAGACTCGTTTACTTTAAAACAGAAACTAAATGCCAATGGAAAATTCTGAACATGCAAATCCATTGGATTACTTTTTATTTTTACATGATTCAATCTTATGACAGTAAAGATCAATCAAAAAACATAACCAGCACTATAGGATTCTAGGGGATTACATAAAATAAGACTTTTCTTTCAATGCACAATGTTAAGCTTTATAATTGCTTTTAATAATGAGACAATAAATCGTTATAATTTCCCCAATAACAATAAAAAGATAATGACAATGTCAGCAAGTCTTCTCTCACACACTACATAGACAAAAAAGAAAATTCAAGATTTTGAGGAATCCAGTAAATAAATTAGCGATTTATGGAAAAAACATCTACTTAAGTATAAAATTTACAGGGTTTTATCATGAAGAACCTTTTATCTGTTTTATTTTTTAGTATTTGACTTTTTACTCTTCATCTCTCATTGAAGAGAACTTCTTAATTAGTTTGAAGATTTCACAGTTCCTCAGTTAGTTAAAAAGACTTATCAAAAATAAATATAAATAGAATTTCAAAAATGGTTTTGGTTCATTAATTTGTATTCTCTTCTTGGCTCTGAACAAGTCTTAAGTTCTTCCACTTAAGTTGCTTAGTACTTATACTTCATGTTTACATGAATGTCTATTGAAGCACCTTTTGAAAAGTTCCAAAAAAAACTTGAATAAATTTCCATCTAATAAATGAAAGCACTGAGAAAAAAAAGCATAATACAAAATAATTTATTTAGATTATATAGTAGGTGATATATATATATATACATATATATATATATCAATTAAACAAAACTCCAAGGGCTATGGCTCATAGCCTGTTGTGTGAAAACTCTGACAAAATACCAGTGAAAGATAGAACAACTTTCAAAATACATTAAAATATCATTGGTCATTTCATATACTATCAATTTATGGTTCACCAATAATTTCTGGATTTAATTTCAGACTCAGAACTTCCATTTTAGAGTAAACTAGTTATCAAACAGATACACAAACTAATACTTTGCAAAAAATTATTTAAAAATTATATATCTTTAGTAAGAAAGTCTTCTCTATATCCACCTAGTCCAAATTCGTGTTATTTTAGATTTACCTGGAAAACTTCAAAACCACCAATGACATATCTTTGAAGTTAGTAATTTCATATAATTTTTTTAGAACAAGAAATTCATGCTAATCAGAATGAGACAGGATAATCATTATATTTCTCATTCAATTAAAAAACATTTTAAAATTTGCTCAGAGAGAGCCTAAACTATCTTCCTCTGAATTTTTTAAATATGTATAAACAGTAATTAAATCTAATTAGATTAAATCATTTAAACACTTTTATCTCTTCATATAAGATCATCTATGTTTGACTCTTTTTGGTAGGAGGACTTAAAAGAAGCTAAGAAGGTATCTGATTAAAATGTGTATTAATTTCAAGGAATTAAATATCCCCAAACTTTAGAACAAAACCCCATAATTTTAAACTTAAATAAGGATTTTCTTGTGGTAAGATTATTTTTCAAAAATATCAATACTAGCAATTAATTCAATTTTCATACATTATTTGATTTCACTGGAAATGTAAATATAAAACAAAACAAACACAAAAAAATTGAGTAATTTTAATCTTTTCAACCTTATTTTTTTCTCTAAAACAAAATAACTTTACTCACATTTTTCCCATCCAGCAATTCCATGCATTTTTCATTTCTGTTGAAGTTACCTACTACTTCAGGATGGACACAAGTATGATCTCTGCTGGAAAGAACAGTCATTGGGACCCCTGAGTACGCTGTCCTCCGGAGCTCTCTAGTAATCTGAGCAATCTGCTTGTGTGTACGTGTCCCAAAATATATTTTTGGTACCTTGGATTTCCCCCCATGATCCTTCTTACTGGCATTTGAAGAATCTTGACTGTTTCCTTGTTTGCTAGAACAACAGCACCTAGAACAGTTACCAGATTGCTGTACAAAAAAAAAAGGAAGAAAAAAAAAAGAGATAGCTAATGTCTGGATACCATAAAAAATGTTACCAAACCTCTCATGGAATCAGAACCCATAAATCACTACTGTCAAATAAAGAGAACTTTCAAGATACCATCTAAAACTTGCCATTAAAGAAAAACTACAAATTCCATTTCAAATTGGTTCTTTCTCATTCTTAAAACTTATAAATGATGTTTCCATATTTATGCTGGTTTCTAACATACTACTCTAACTCTCAAATTCCAAAAGTTTTAAGTACATTTTAACTTTCCTCTTTCATAAATTATAAAAACATAAGACAAAACTGAGGACAATTTTAATTTTTGCTTAGGCTTCAAGTGAGCTTGTGATATTATAGCTTAGAAGTGATAGTACTTTCTTTGTTTACAGCACAGCCCATTAAAATATCCTATAATGTACTAATATTTTTTATACTGTATCAATACATACCAGGTTTAACATGCACAAAGCCAAGAAAACCAACGATGCCAGATACTGAATTTATATTGCACTGTCCTTTGAACACCCAGCAGAAATAAACTGCTAAATGCAGATACCATGCAGTGCATATACATATACATAATATTTTTTTAAGTATTTAAAACATAGCTTACAAAAGAATAGAAATATCAAGCTGAATCTAAATTATCACTGAACAAGAAGTGAAAACTATTCTCTAGCAAAGGTATGAAAATGAATGCATATTATTAATATTTAATAATAAAGGCAGGTTGCTTGTGTGAAACGAGTATATCTGAAATTCAATTACCTGTCATAGAATGCAAATCCATCAGTAGAATCATCATTCAAGATAGTTTTTCCTGGACAATTTTACTCATAATTCAGTTTTATAATTGAAATAGTTATATAAATGCCTCCTTAAACACACCATATATAGAACTGCAGGAATATAGTCTAATGTTTATCTGATTTTTTTTCTCTCCTGTTTCTAAACTCTCAAAAATTAAAAAAAGTTTAATGCTATACGTAAGAACCCATGGGTTCTGAATAACTACTACCTAACAACCTTAATTACTACACATATGAGTGCAGCCTCATTTAGAGGAATACTGTGAAATGGTTAGTTTATAGATGTGGTCACTGTTGGGGGCGAAAAGCTAAGTAGCACAGTAGCTTAAAAGAATTTGTAATGAAGAGTTATAGTTTAGTAGAACAAATATGCCATTTAACTGAAGTTTTTTTAAAAAATTATAATCTGTAAGATTAGCCTTCATCAACAAATGCTAAGTCATAGCATGTTACACCACAATAGTGGGGATCAAGCTGTCTTTTAGCCTCAACTCAGTGGAAAAGCAAGTTCAAATTACTCCCAGTCTCGCTCAACCTTGTCCACCATTAAATATTACAATACATGATAGAATGGATGTAAATGTGACCCTTCTGGAACTGTCACTCACTGGGATAAAAGGTTCACTGATGTGCCAAATAAACAGTCAAAGCAGATAAAATTACAGCTATGCTGGAATTGTTACATTCCCCTCTCAGGTTGCCAGTAACAGCAGATTTCATTACAGAGTGCTGCCACATTAAATAGCCAGTTCCAAATATCCTGCCTTCTATATTGAATAATTACTTATTCACTGAAAGGATAAAAAGAAGAGTTATGAATGGGGCTCTTGTCAACAGTGAGGCAGGAAACAGCTGACATGTGGTTTATGTTACATATGTTGCAATATCTGACAATTTATGGTCACACAGAAAATGGGAAGCAAATTATATCATGATATTTCTGACTGAATTCTCTTTTGGCCTTTGCAACAATCACATTAATTAATTAACATACTAAAAGAATTAAGGTAACTCTAGGTAGCAGAATTATTTTACTTTTTTATACCTTCAATCTTTTCACTCAATAATACTATTTCTCTTCCATATGATACAGTTAAATTCATCCTGAATATTAGAATGCTAGAGTGCAATGCATTGTTATACATATGTGAATATATTATATCCAAGCATAAAAGAATCAACTAAAGGGGTCTTCTCTCAAGGTTTAAAGATCATCTACTTTTTGATGGAACACTTTTCAACACCAATTCCACTTAAAAATTTATCACTTACACCTTTTAATTCCACTTTTTCCCCGACCAAAAAATTCAAACACCACAGGAATACACAAAATAAATCAGACAAATAATTCAGTACAATTTGCAAATAGTTCACAACTTGCAAACCTTCATATGTGCATAAATACATCTTTCATACAATTTTTTCAAACAAAAAAGAATGATTTTATACAGCTTTATAACTTGCTGCTTTGTGTTCAAACTTTTTAAATTTTAAAAGGTGTGCACTGGGGACTAATAATTAAATAATAAAATGTGTTTATATTAAAATGTTATGCTAGTAGCTCTACTAACTAAAAAAAAAAAAAAGATGGGGAACTAGTTTCAGAAAATGTTTCCCACTAGAGCAGCTTTACTGAAATACCTTAAATTTATTTTTCATTTTATAATTAAGAAAATTATAAACCATGGCTAATTTCATATTAAACATATTTTTGTTTGTTTGTTAAGATTCAAAGCTCTGAAATCATTATACCACCTATGAACTTAAGGTGACTCCTCAAGAAGATGATTTTTCAATGGGTGCATGGGCAAGTAGAGTACAAGAAATTAAGAAAGCTGATTCTTTTTCTTTTGCTATATTAAAGAATTATTTCTTCAGGAGTGATCTTCTACCAACATTTCCATTTAAAGGACTTGGTACAATCATATTTGAGGGTGGTAAAAAACTAAATATGGCAATAGAACAGAGGCTTGGAAGAGACTTTTAATAGCAAAAGAATTATTTGAACCCAGATCAGCTACTTTCACTGCTTTAAGAAAACTAGAGAAAGAATGATAAAAACAGCAATGACAGGAGTTCATAGTACTCCAATTCAGTTAAAGGCTAACACTTTAAAAGACAGATAACATACTTTAAAGAAGATAAAACTCATGGCCTCCCCAAAACCTGTAATCTCTAGGACGTGTAAACCAGCTGCACTGAGTGGCAGAGCAAAGATGGCTTCTCCCATAGCTAGAAACTGCCTAGAGTCCTTTCACTTCCACAAAGGGCAAAAAAAAACCCAATCTAAATAACAGCATACATGTGCAGAATTCAATTGTGCAGAATTATTTCCATATGCAGAATTCAATTGTTTAAAAATACATTTCAAATCTACAGTAGCCAAAACTGTTCTCAGATGGTCAGTAACCAAAAATTTTTGGAAAACGTTTCTCTAACAACTTCTATCTATTCCCTCTCTTGCCCTGGCATATAGAGACACACATCTAAGTGGCTTAAAAGGGTGAAGAAAGATTTTAAGATTTGATCTTAAAAGAAAGGCCAACTGCTAAGTCCTTGCCAGTATTTCTTTCACAAAGCTATAATAAGAAGTTCAAGTTAAAATACTACAATGTCAACCTCTAACGTTTCATACCTTTCTCCAACCTCCCCTCACAACAACAAAAAAATTACTATACCTAAATACTTGAAAAGAAAAAAATACAAGACAATCTGTTACTTTTCAAGGCCAAAAAGAAAAATAATCTTGTTATGCTAATATTTGGGCCACTTTTGAGTGACAAACACATATCCTGATATATTCATTAGTAATAATAACTACCATTTTTTAAAGCTGTCCCTGTGCTAACCACCTTGTATGTACTATCCCATTCATCCATCCATCCATCCACCCATCCATCCAGCCATCCATTCAAGAAACATTAGAATTCCTGATATACCAAGCCAAGAAGACAATAACAATGGTCATCTCATCTCACAAAGAACTCCACTCTTTAGCTGTTCTATAAAGTTAGTTTTTGGAGGTTATTGGTATGAGTTTCACTCATGAATTAAAGAATTGTTGAAGTTAGTATTCTAAGTGCATTATTTTTCTGAATATAATTACACAATATTCCTAAGGGTAAGCAATAAAATTAAATTCATAAAAACTATTTTAACTTATTATTAGCTGACATTTAAGTCAAATATTCTCTAACAATATTCCCATTGTGTTCCACAAGGGGAAAAAAAAAAAACAGAAACTCTCAAGAGACTCTTTAAAGCAAGAGTCAACAATCTCTCTGTAAAGGGCCAAAGAGAAAATATTCTAGATTTGTAGGCCATATGATCTCTGTCTCTATACAGGAAAATATCTTTTATGATCCCCATGTAGGGAAGGATTTCTTAAGCAATACACCAAAAAGCACAATGGATGAAAAAAAATAATCTCATTAGGATGTCAAATTTCTATTTAAAAAGATACCCCCGTTTAAAAAAATAGTAGAAAGAAAACTGAGAGGAGATATTCGCAATGTATAAAACCAACCGAAGATCAGTATCTACAACACATAAAATATTCCAACTAATCAATTTTAAAAAGACAAATCCAGTAGATGGCCAAGAACAAGAAATCACAGAGGGGGAAAAAAACCTGAAAGGTCAATAAACATCTGAAAAGATGTGTAAACTAAGGCTAAACCTCATAACTAATTAGGAAAATGCAAATTAAAACCATAACTAGATTCTGTTTCACATCCACCAGATTGAGTGTTAGAAAAACATGAAGCAACTCTCATAACTGCTGATCCAAGTATAAACTGGCACATCCATTGTGGAGAGTAAACTGGTGATCTAGTTAAATCAAATATATATGAACCCTCTGACCCAGCATGACAATGGTAGGTATAAATGCTAAAGAAACTCTTGCACTTTAAGGGAGATACAGTAGTGATATTATTTGCAGCATTGTTTGTTTATTTGTTTTTTAAATAGGGAGGAAAACAAGCTAACTACATCAACAGAAGAATGGGTCAATAAGATGTGGGGGTTTTTTTTCAATCAATGGAATACTGTATATAATGAAAAAATATAAACCAGGGTTGCATGTATCAACACATATAAAATATTTTTAAAAAGTTGAGCAGGCTGAATATGACTTAAATATTATCCTCCCCATAAAATTCCAAACA